CCCCTTGTATACTTATGGGCTGTCACCAAGTCCCCTCTCAGTCTTCTCTTCAGACCTCTAATCATATGTGTGACCCTCCTTTGGACTCTCTCAAGCTTTTCCACATCCTTCCTGAAGTGCAGCACCCAGAACTGGATGCAATACTCCAGCTGTGGTCTCACCAAAGCCAAGTACAGTGGGAGGATAACATCCTTAACCTTGCTTGAGATGCTTTGGTTCTCATGATTCACTCTGCCAGCTGTGGCTTTGCATTGATGGCTTATGTTCATTTTGTAGTCTGTCATGATCCCCAGGTCTCTTTCAGTTGTGGAATTGGAAAATGTAGCACCACAAGCCTGTAAGTGCATTACAAATTATTTCTCCTCGGAGCACTTTGCATTCCTCCATGTTAAACATCATCAGGTTTTGATCTGTCCACCTTGCAAGCCTGACCAGCCTATCCCCAGCCTGTCCTCCAGCGTGACCGCACTCCCTCATAATTTGGTGTCATCCAAGAACTTTGCCAGTATGCTTTTAACAGCCAAATCCAAATCATTGATGAATATGTTGAAAACCACTGGTCGGACTACTAACCCCTGAGGGATGCTACTAGTCACCTTACGCTATGTTGACTCAGTTCTGTACATTAATACTCTCTTGGTCCTACCTCAGAGCCAGTTTCCTAGCCACCAGAGCATAAAGTTGTCAAGCAACAATTTCCCAGTTTTACCATGGAGACATAATTATTGACTAAGTCAAAGGCATTTTGAAATTCAATTATAAATCATCATAATCACCTCCCAGGTGGTGAGTTACCTGATTGAAGAAGGAAATGAGGTTGATCAGGCATGACCTACCCAGAACGAAGCCATATTGGCTGCCCTTTAGAATACTGCCTTCAGTTAGCCTATCACTAATGGATACTTTGATAATTTTTTCCAGGATTTTTCCAGGGATTGAGGTCAAACTGATTGGCCTATAATTCTCTGTGTCCTCCTTTCTTCCTTTCTTGAAGATAGGCACTACATTGGCCCTCTTCCAGTCTTCTGGGACCTCTCCTGAGCACCATGAGTTCACAATAGCTTTGCCATTGGTTGTGCAATGACATTGACCAACTCTTTCAGCACTCTATGGTATAGTTCATCTGGTCCAGCCTCTCTAGATGTTCTCCCACAAGATCTTCGCCAACTATGGGTGGGTGATCATACCCACCTAAATCTTGTATCCTGTCAAGTAGGCTAACCCTTGAACTGGTGGAATACCAATGCACAGTAATCATTTAGGAGTTCAGTTTTCTCCTGAGTGTCAGTTATCAGCTGTCACATTTCATTCAGCAGAGATCCTACGTTTCCCTTATGTATCATAAATGCATTCTTGAAACATCATGAATGTTTCTCAATGTATCATACGTGTTTTCTTGTGCTTACTGTACCGATATGGCTTGTGTGATCACATTGCAAAGCCCATGTTACACTGTATTTATTGATGTGACTCTTATTACTATACAAATTGTGCATATCTTTATAGGTTTGAATAGAGCTTAGTCAAGGAAAGCAAGTAGATGGAACTGCTAGATCTCTCTTGCTATTGTGACTCCAGGGCGAGAAGAACTACCACTCCAAGACAGACAGATGGCGTAGGCCGGAGGCAGGCACTGTTTGCCTGTAATAGGGAAATCAATTGTTCCATAGCAAAGGCATATGAGAGAAATAGCCCATTAGCCAGCAGAGCTCCAGGTGTCTCAGGGAGACAAGAACTTTCTGGAGGATTCTGTTGACCCATGATCAATTAACATGTTGATGAGGGTGGAGCAGGGCTGGCCTTGAAGGCTTTTTAAAGTCTAGGTAGGATATAATTGAGGCTTTTGGGGTTCCATGACAATAATTAAGGCTGATAGAATCAGCTGGAAAGCTGAATTCTGGGGTACTGGAAGGACTTTCAGAAGGGCTGGGGTGTATCCAGAAGAAAGAGTAAGAATTTGTACTTGTTTTGTTTTTCTGTCTCCAGGCCTATGTTTTGCTTGTATAGTTCTTTTATTCTATATAATAATTAATTTTGTGTTTTCTGTCCTTACTGCTTGCCTATGAAAAGAGTGATTGCTGGAAAAGTGAACATTGCCAGGCTAACCCTTTCTATGGAAAAAGGAACCTAAAATTACTGTCACAACTCAAAGGGATGCGACACTGGCAAAGATTCCTCTACTTCACTGGAACGGAGACTTGTTAGGGAGAAGTCTTGGTCTGTTCCTTGGGGCAAGTGTCAGCCCAGGCGTCAGAAACTAGAGGCCCTGGAGGTCTCCCATGGAAAGCTTTGTCACAGCTGCTTAACATAAAACAAATAAATAACATAAGTGAAAAAAAAAACAGAATTGTATCATATGGTTTTATTTCTGAATATGATAATGACTTGTTGTGTAACTATGGGCCAGTCAGTTCTCCTCCTTGTGCCTCTGCTTCCCCTCATACCAAATTTGAGCCTGTCTTTTCTTTTGTGCTTTAACCAGTAGGCAATAGAAATATGTTTCGTCTTGCTTGCTTTCTTTCTGCCTCCATCACTATTTCTTTCAAGTATTTCCTGAGATTCTCTTACAGTATCATGGTTAGGGCAGTCTCCTGGGAAGCTGGAAATGTATTTTGAATCTCCAAAAGCTGTGGAGGATTTGGAACCAATGTCTATTTTCTGGGCAAGTGCTCTAACCTCTGGGGCTAAATTCCACCCAAATCTAACTTAGTACTGTTGAATTTTTATCCAAATCTCTTGCCCTTGATAAAATCCCCTGTTGTTAAACCTATACACATTCCCTAGTAAAACTAACACATAGTGGAAGGTTTACTGAAAAAACTAGATACTAATCTGCATTTTGCTAGGCAATACATAGATGTTACCTAGAAGCAAAGTTTACATTCTGAGGAAATTTTGATTACATCAATCTTTTCTGAAAAGATGTAACTCTTTTCCATTTGGCAGACATTGGATTTTTTGTTTTGCTTTTTTCTAACAGAACTGATTTTTCTATGTAGTTGAAGCACATTTCTTTCTTTGTGATGTCTGCAATTTTTATGTCAACAGAGATGTGGGTATAATGCTTAAACTTCAAGCATTTTTATATCTCCATTGAAACCTGAGGCAACTTATGAGTTAGTGGCAAAAGTCCCTATATATCGTTTTGGGAATAGAAACATAGTAAGTGATATACACTGTAAGAACAGGTAATATGAAGGTCATTTCTGCACATTTTCTTGTAATGTAGCTTGTAGACTAAAACAGTTATAGCTGGATGCATCTACATGGCACATTTACTGCAGTTGCCTAATTAGCTGTACAGTAAAGTCTCATGGTCTACACATGTGGTCCAACTAGGTTACAAGTACTACCCTTTAGTGGTGTCCTTTAGTGCACTGTAGCTCATATGTAGACTCTGACAGGGCTGGCTAGGACATGAGGGTGATTCGATGCAGGAGCTGCCTGCCAGCAAGCCCTTCACTGGAGCATGCTTGTGCCCCAGCCAGCCCTTCTGTGGCACATTGAGCTGGGTTGGAGCATCCCTAGAGTGGCAGGCTGACCCACTAGATCCCCTGCCAACTGGGGCTGCTCCAACCTGGCTCAACGTGCTGCAGTCCCGGGCACACATGTAAACACAATGCCTGGAATCAATAAACTCTGGTGTGATATGCACCAGAGTTTATTCAGGTGTCTTGATATCATGTGCATCTGTGCCCATTGAATACAGTAATAATACTCTTTATTTTCTGTTCAGTTTGGCCCTAATTCTGCTTAATATTGGACACTGAGACACAGGATTTAAAGGAAAAAGCACTACAGAGAGCTCACCTTGAAAATGCATGAAGTAAATTTCAGACAGACTGAGGGGTAGTGGCATGACTAGCAGAATCCAAACTAACCAAATATGCAAATAACCTCATTACATAAGGAGGATAGCACGGTCTTGCAAAACCAATAAATATCTCCAGTGCTTCTCAACTTGTGCAGAATGAGTCCAGGAGGAAGATTCTCTCCCGCCTCCCCCTCCTTCTGTTCTAAGTTAGTTTTACTTGAATTTTGATCAGGAAGGGCAAGGATTTGTGTACTTAACTGACTCATTGCAAGATGCTGCACATTGCTAATCATTTTCTTAAGAAAATCTGGGACACTGCCTTCCCTCCGCCTCCCCATGTCAGCAGTACTGCTACAGGCAAGCAGGGGCGTAGCGTGTAGTCCAGTGGCGAGCAGCATAATGCATTCCTGGCCCGGCTCTTCCTGTACAGTGGCTGGAAGCAGGGAGCAGGCTGGCTGGGCACTGCTCCAGTGCACCTGCCTTGGTCCTGCACAACAGCAGCAGTGCCTGTTCACTCAACTGCCTTGAGCACTCTGCCACTCCACCTCCCAGCTGGACTATGCCCAAAACACCTGCCCATCTGCCTCTGCTTGCAGGACTTTTTACCAATCAGCCAGGAGTGACCTCTGAAATCTGGGACTGTCCTGGCCAAATCAGGATGTATGGTCACCCTATATATATAAGGCAATACATCTGCATCACTAAACACCTCTATAATACATACAACATCAAAAGTAAGTCCAACTATAATAACCCAAGACTAAGTATATGCTTACTGAGGTCACAAAGGAAATCCCAGCTATATGTTCTGACTAGTACTTATACTGCAGTTATTCCACATGTCTACATAGCTGATTATTTTTCAGGCTCAGGAACACTTCGGCCACATGTAGACTAAATGAGAGGCGTGCATGCCTGACACTTTAATGCAGGCTAAATGCTTTTGCACTGCTTTCACGGTATTGGTGTTTGCATGCCTCGGCAGCATATTATGTATTAATTCCAGCCTCTGCAGGAAATTCGGCAGCATAATGTGCCTTAAATTACTTGGAGTGCAGCAAACCAGAACTCCTTTGAGGAGTTTTAGTTTGCTGCCTGTACAGCTGCAGAGCAAAGCACCAGGCTCCATGCAGCTCCATGGCTCTGTAGGCAGCCCTGCAGGCAGCCTGACAGCAGCCAAGGAAAGCAGGCTCTGCCCAAGAAAAGTGGTGAGCCTCATTTGCCCCCTCCACCCCCCCGGAGCCTGCCTGCCTGAGCTGTGTGGGGGCCTGGTACTTCCCTCTACGGCTGTGGTGCCCCCCACGACCGCCCGAGTTGGGTGCCTGTGGGCAGGTGCTGCCTGTGTGGGGAGGCCCAGCACACACTGCAACCCAGGGACTGCTCTGCTCACCAGCAGCTCACCCTCCCCTCCCTGCTGGATAGGCAGGTAATTCTGTGGGCTGTGTGCATGACACGGGGGTTTAATCAAGCCTAAGTTGAAGTGTTCTTTTTTAAAACCCATCACTTCAATTTAGGACCCCCATTTTGTGTACACACACCCTTAGTCTGTTGTATACATGAAGCTATTGAACCAATTTTTGAAAACATGAGTCATACTGTTAAAAAATAGAGTAGACCATCAATTCAAGGAATTAATGCAAGATGTCAAATTGTATTAAGGATGAATATTATCAAAAACTTATCTTTTCCACCCCTAGTAAAGGAGACAAGGAAAAAGAAAAAGCAAGGGTTTATTTAGTACAATAAGTGGTTTTGTTTCACTAATATCTGTTCTGATCTTCTTCTAATCTTCAGAAGTATCAGAATTGCTATTAAAAAAAAAGAAGAGAAAAATAAAGGAGAATCTGTTGGTTTCATTTTCATTACAACAGCAATGCCGTTATTAGTATTGCTCAAACATCAAGCGTTTCAACAAGTAAAGAAAAAAATAGTGCTGGAGCAAACATTTTATACACTTTGTTCTTCCTAGAGTTATCATAATAATTGGATGTCTTTCAATTTATTACAGCATATCTACTATACCAGATAATTCCATTTCTCTTTTCTAGATGCAACAGACACTTCATGCAACAGAAATCAATATTGTGCAGGCAATGGGGCTGAGGGGGAGGGGTGGCACTGGATCTTTAGCCTTGCCACTTCAGTGTGAAAAGTTTGCATAGACAAGCTATTAAATACACACCACTGCTCTCTCAAATATACAGTAGCTTCTAATTATTTGCTGTATAAAACATGATTAGAAAATACTATTATAAACAGGCTCTTTATGCCACATGTACCAGGATAGCCAAGATATGCAGCTATCCATGTCCACAGCTGCAATTAATATCCACAAGGTATAATACAGAAACTAATGGTATTTAAACAGTCTTTATGTTTGCCACAAATGCTGATTTAACAGAGTAAAAAAAATTTTTCTAACCCTCTTAATATAAAAGTACATTCCTTTAATTAAGTGCTGATAAACCTTTAGTTAATGGGCTATTTAATAATAGACTATGAAACACTGATCAATGATACATATATGTTTTAATATATAGTTGACCTCTGATTACATATTGTTACTGAACACAAAGTTTCAGTAAGTTGCTTATAAACACAGGGTGTTATTTTATTCCCTTCTTGCTCATTTAAGACTGGAAACAGATATTATCTTTGGAGCAGGATCAGCTGTGCAGCAGCTCATCATGGCACAGCTGATCCACTTCAATGGCATCTTCAGACATTGCTGGGGCTGTTGTCCTGCATGACTGGGCTCCTGCTGCTCCTGGGGCTTCAGAGGCTCAGTCCTGCAAGAAAAGGAAGCTCCTGCTTGTAGATGTGCATTTAATGTTAAGGCAATGCACCTGAGGCAGTTGTCTCATAGGATCAGGCCCCTGAAATCCTGGGAGCTCCTGCCTGAGGAAGCTAGAGGGAGTGATCCACACTTTCCCACCATAAGTGTACAGACATCAGGCATTAAAAGGCAGCATAGATTAGGACTAGGATCATCTCCATGACAAAATTTGTGGTGTGACAAAAGGTTAAGGTGCCTGTTCACTCACAAAAAAAAAAAAAGAAGGCAAAGCTGAAGTCTGTTTACAGACTAAGCTTCCAGACTTGACTTTCTATATAGCATTTTCAGCACTTGGGAAACTAGAAGAATTCCATGTCTGGATGCATAGCATTGCCTGCATGGACACCTACACACACGTGTAGACTGGACATGTACAATGTCAATAAAACATAAATGACTTCCCATATTTTATTCCAGTAGCTGAGAGCCTAGAGTGCTCACCTGAGAAGCCAGAGGACCTGGTTTTTAGGCTCTCCTCATACAAAGGGGGTCTGAATTTGGGTCTTTCTTACCTCTCAGCACAGCACTTCGACCATCTTGCCACAGGTCTGCTTTAAACAGCAACTTCTCTGATGCTCCTTTTGAAACCAAGTCATTAATATCACCATTGGAAAAAATGGATGGGAGTCAGTAAAGGGGGGAAACTTTTGGGAGCTAGCCCTTGTGCTACCTCACCCCAGACCAGTAGCCAGCAAGACAAATAGTTTACCAAGCTGCACACTCAACAGTTTGCTTTCTCTATTCCTTTTGACCCTACATATCATGATCTGCCCGGGGCAAGCTTCAAAAAGAGTGCCAGAGAAGGTCTTGTCATGGCTGACCTGTGATGTAGTGGGGTGATGAAAGTGCTATGCTGGGAAATTAGAAACTTGGGTTTAAACCCTGCCTGGGTAGGGGCATGGGGAGCAATAACCTGAGCCCTATGGCTTCCCAGCTTACTCCCCCAGCTACTTAACTATTAGGAGGCAAGGAGTAGAAAGTATTTCCTTGCCGACTTCTTCTCTGGGTTTTCATTAACTACATTTTAGCATCTAGAGAGACTACCGCATATCAACAAAAGAGGTACATACATGCCTGCCTATATATGTGGCCATCATGAAGTCTACTGCAGATTCATAGTCTGCATGCATATTTATGTATACACACACACACAAGTTGCATGTGCAAGAATATAATTCCTACCTGAGGCTTAGGTGACATTTCTGGGACTTAGACAAGAAGTGGAATGTGGGTAACTATATCTAGACACTCAAATGACTGATGACTAGGAATATAGTAGAGTTACCCACAGTATATAACCACCAACATCATCAAATGTTGACAAGAATACTATGTGATATGGATACTTACCTGTAATGTTTGTGTAATACTTACTATTTATCACAGGGTAATAGGGGGTCAGACTCTATGATCTAATAGGTCCCTTCTGACCCTAGAAATCTATGAAATCTATGAAAATAGGAAATTACTGTAGCAAGGGACCTTATGGAGGTCACCTATTCCAGCCCCCTGCCAAAGAGGGTTCATTCCTACTGAATCATGTCAGCCAATTAGCCGTCTAACGTGCTCTTGAGAATCTCCAGAATGGGGAGTCCACAACTCTTTAGGTAGTTTAACCACCCTCATAGCTGGAAAGTTCTTCCTTATATGCAACCAAATTTTCCTAATTTGAGGAAATTGTTTCTAGTTCTGTCCCCTACAAACAAAGAGAAAAGCCTATCTCCATTCTCTATGTAATCATTCTTCAGCTATTTTGAAGACCATTATCGTATTTCCTATGTTGCTGGACAGTCCAGTACCTAGAGGTTTTCAGCAAGGTTCAATGAGGCTGCATATGGAGGTGGAAAGGGAAGGATGAAGGATCAGAAAGAAGGACTGATTGCAAGATTGCTTTAATACAGGACGCATCTCTGCAGGAAAGTAAGTTATATAGGCAAGCTGTTTGAGAAAATAATTCTGGCACACATCCAGGAGGGGACAGCAGGGGACTGCATGCTTAGGGGCAACCAACACGGGTTCATCAGTGGCAGGTCCTGTCAGACCAACCTGGTGGCTTTTTATGATCAGATCACCAGATCATTAGATGCAGGGGTAGCAGTGGACATAGTCTTCCTGGACTTCCGGAAGGCTTTTGACACTGTCTCTCACCCTGTTCTCATTAAGAAAATGGGAGGCTGTGGCGTAGACACCCACACAGTCAAATGGGTCGCCAACTGGCTGGAGGGCCGCACCCAGAGGGTGGTAGTGGATGGGTCCTTCTCAACCTGGAAGGACGTGGGCAGTGGGGTTCCGCAGGGCTCGGTCCTCGGGCCCGCACTGTTCAACATCTTCATCAGTGATTTGGACGAGGGGGTGAAAAGCACCCTGTTCAAATTTGCTGATGACACTAAGATGTGGGGGGACGTGGGCACACTAGAAGGAAGAAGCAGGCTACAATCGGACCTAGACAGGTTACAAGGGTGGGCGGATGAGAATAGGATGGGTTTCAACACAGACAAGTGCAAGGTGATGCACCTGGGGAGGAACAACCGGCACCATACCTACAGGTTAGGGAACTCCCCTCTTGTCAGCACGGAGGCGGAAAAGGATCTTGGAGTCATCATTGACTCCAAGATGAACATGGGTCGGCAGTGTGGGGAGGCAGTTAGGAAGGCCAACCGTACCTTGTCATGCATCCACAGATGCATCTCGAGCAGGTCCAGAGAGGTGATCCTCCCCCTTTATGCGGCACTGGTCAGGCCGCAGTTGGAGTACTGCGTCCAGTTCTGGGCGCCGCACTTCAAGAGGGATGTGGACAGCATGGAGAGGGTCCAGAGGAGGGCCACTCGCATGATCAGGGGACTGCAGGGCAGGCCCTATGAGGAGAGACTACGGGACCTGAACCTGTTCAGCCTCCACAAGAGAAGGCTGAGGGGGGATCTTGTGGCCTGTTACAAACTGGTCAGGGGGGATCAGAAGGCATTGGGGGAGTCACTGTTCCCCCGAGCACAGCCAGGAGTGACCAGGAACAACGGTCACAAGCTAGCAGAGGGTAGGTTTAGGTTAGACATCAGAAGGCGCTATTTCACGGTCAGGGCGGCTAGGGTCTGGAACCAACTTCCAAGGGAGGTGGTGCAGGCTCCTACCCCGGGGGTTTTTAAGAAGAGGTTAGATGAACACCTTGCTGGGGTCGTTTGACCCCAGTACTCTTTCCTGCCATGGCAGGGGGTCGGACTAGATGATCTTCTCAGGTCCCTTCCGACCCTAGAAACTATGAAACTATGAAACTATATACTCTTGTTTCTATTAGCTAGTGGTCATCAGAGGCTTGGGTAACATGTATAAATAAATTTGGCCTGATTACTTCAAATCAAACAATACTC